AGCACAGTTTGTAATCGCTAAAGCTTGGAAACAGCCCAAGTGCCCATCAACTGAAAACTGGATAAAGAAGATGTGGGGTTTTTTTATAAAGTGGGGTACTACTCAGCCATAAAGAATGAGAAACTAGAGACATTTATAGCTAAATGGATGCATATGGAGGCCATACTCTTAAGTGAAATAAATAGGACACATATGTGTAAATACTGAATAGTTTCTCTGGTGTGAGAAACTGAAAGTGTGAATAAGGATTAAAATGATTAAAACAAATAATTGATAATTTGAAATAGGAAGAAAAGGTTCAAAGGGGTAGGGGAAGTGGGAGGGGAAGGGGAAAGAAGGGAAAGGAAAAACTATGAGAAAAGGAAAAAATGGAAACAAAGTCTTTGTAAATAGGGAAGAGCGCACAGGTAATGGGGAAAAAATAAGAAGTAAGATACATCATGTGCAGGTACAAGTACCCAATGATAAATGTAAAAGTATTGTATACCTAAAACGTACCAATAAAAGAATTTAAGCAAAAGAAAATTTTTGGGGGGGCGCGGGTATCGGGAATCCAACTCAGGTCATTGCGCTTGCAAGGCAGCCGTAGGTGACACCACTGAACTAAATCTCCGGCCCTTAAATTTGTATTTTAACTAGCTGTTGAAAATGTGAAACTAAAAAACGTGAAAAAAAATTGGTAGATATTTTTCTGTCCACCCCAAATGTTTTGTTGATGCTTAATGTTTACCCATGTAGCTAATCTAGACCACCAGAAAGTAAAAAAAGTACCGATGTTTTTCAATAGAACTTTTAGTTTTTTGAAACAAGGTCTCGCTGTGTAGTTCAGGCTGGCCTCAGACACGTAGTGATCCTCCTGCCTCAGCCTCTCAAGTGCTGGGATTACAGGCATGGATAAACACGACCCACTAATAGAAATTTTTTTTGATGATCAAATGTTTCATATTTGCACCACCCAATATGATAGTTATTAGCCACAGAGACTGTGTAACACTTTAAATGTAGCTGATGTGATTTAAGAAATGAGCCCCCCCCCGCCCCTCCCGTTTTCAGGATTAAACCTAGGAAATGCTGTGCAACAACCCCACCCCCACTCTTTAAATTTTATTTTGAGACAGGTTCTTGCTAAATTGTCCAGGCTAGCCTCAGGGACTCTCCTGCCTCAGCCTCACGAATAGGTCATGAACACTAAATTTCAGTTAATGTTAATTCGTGCTTAATTTGTCACATGTAGCTAGAGACTATTGTATTGGACAGTTTAACCTGTTTAAATGGCCCTGGCCATTTCCTGGCCCTGAAAACAGGTAGGTTTCTTTCCGGTCTCTCGCCTAAAAATGTAGATTGTTAAAAAACAACAACAACGACAACAACAAAACCCCCCCCCCCCAAAAACCAAAATGTAGATTGTTAATAAAGGGTTATAAAATCTCTAAATGGTGCGCTGTTGAATGCCACTTCCTGTAATAAATATCTATGCATAGTGGCAAGCCATAATTAGGATCTCGTCTTTGAATAGTAATTAACTTCGCATCTTGGCATCTTGACAGACACCCAACCACCTCCGGTGAAAGGCTGGAAGTCCCTAACTCCACCCTCCCCAGGCAGCGCTCGCGGCATTCTGCGATACCGAACTGGATCATGGGTTTTTGTAGTTCAATTTGTCCATGACGTCACTGCCGGTGTCTTTGGGGAGTGGATTTAGCCATCGGTTGACTTCCAATATCTCATTGTCTTCTGGGAATTGTAGTCAATTGGTCCTGTTGGGCGTGGACTCTCATGGTCTGGGAACTACAATTCCCGGTGGTCCACGGGATGCACCCGGCTGTGGTTACTAGTGAACCGGGCGATTGCCTCAGCCGGCAATAAATGTGCTTTGGTACCTGGGAGGTCTGGCTCCCCAGAAGGGGAGGGGAGCGATTGTAATCACTCCTTTGAGGGGATCACCTGGGTCACTGTCGTGAATTTCCAGAGTTGGCTTGGTGTAGTCATGGCGGTGAGTTTGGGCGGGAAGAAAGCCGGGCGGGTCGGGCCCAGGAATCCGACTGGTCAGTCCCTAGGGGCTCTCCATGTGCGAGGGATGGATAGTCTTGCAGGGGAAAAATCTCTTACTAAAAGAGAGGTTTTTCCCCTGCACGCTTAAGGCATCGGCACCTTGGAGAATTGTGTGCCGTTTCTTGCTAGCAGAAGATCTGGGAACTTGAATGACATGTGGTATTTAACCAGAGTTTTAAAATTTAGGTGGAGAGAGAAGTATGTAATATTGATTCCTTCTTTCAGCAAAAATTTGAGCGCCTCCCCATGAAAAAGAAATCACTGTTTTCAGAAGGTTTACATGTGTTGGGGCTATGTACTGAAATATGGAGAAAATACTATGTCAGGTGTCCATAGCGCTATGGAAAAACAATAGTACAGAAGGTGGGAGGTGTATGAGAGTATGGGTTGAGAGTACAGTTGCAATTTTAAAAAGCGTTGTCAGGCAAAGCTTTGCTCTCAAGAGATCTCCCGGTAGAAACAACAGTATGAGTGAAAAGCAAGGAGAGTTGTATGGATAAAGGACATTGAACCAAGGGGTCGGGTGTAAGTCGTATAAGGCTTTTTTGTGACTGTAAAACGTTGTTTGGTTTGTTTTTTTGAGACAGGGTCTTGCTGTGCAGTTCAGGCTGGCCTTGAACTGTCTTCAATCCTGCCTCAGCCTCCCTAGTGCTGGCATTACAGGTGTGCACCACCACGCCTGGGACTTTATATTTTCATTGGAGTACTTTGCATAGATAAATGACAAGCCCCGACTACTTAAAAATTATTACCCTGATTACTCTGTTGAGAAGGTGATTGATTAGACAGACATGAAAGCAAGACAAGATCAGTAAGGGTTTTGAGTAATTGCTGGGAGAAGACGACGGATACTTGGGTGAAGTGGAATGCAATGGTGGGTAAAAGCCTAACTGAAGAGTGGATTCAAGATGGGGGAGCTGAGTGTGGTGGCACGTCTGTAGTTCCAACACATGGGAGGCTGAGGAAGAACGATCACAAGTTTGAGGCCAGCCTGGGCTACTGGTGAGTTCAAGGCCAGCTTGGACAACATAATGAGACTTTGTCTCAAAAACAAACAAACAAACAAAATCCAGAAAACAACAGCAACTAAAAAAGAATGGGAAGAAAGGACTGAGAAAGTGGCACATACCTGTAATCCCAGCTCTTGGGAGGTTGAGGCAAGATTGTAAATTTGAGTCCCGTCTGGGCAATTTAGCAAAACTCTGTCTCATAATAAATACAGTGGGATGGCAATATAACTCAGAGATGCAGTACCCCTTGGATCAATCCCCATTATAAATAAATAGGAGGGCTGGGGATTTAGCTCAGTGATTCTGCCGCCTGCCTCACAAGTGCAAGGACCCGAGTTCGATTGCTGGCACCAAAAATAAATAAATAATAGGAAATGATTGTTAATAAGTATGGACAATTCCTAAGGAATTTTTCTGTGAAGGAGAGAAGAGAAACTGAGTAGTAGATGAGTCAAAAGCCTTTTTTTAATAGGAGGAATTATGAAGTGCTTTTAGGAATTATCCTATAGAAAAGGATTATTGATGCAAAGAAGAGATGTTTGCTGGAATGCTGTTCCTGAGTTGAATAGAAGGGGGATTCAGTGAATCAGGAGAGGGGCTAAAAAGATCACACTTACATAATGTTAACAGGAAAGAAGGCAGAGTACGTGTGTACAGATATGTGTGGTTGTGTAGATGTAATGCGGGAGCTTGTGGAAGCTGTCTGCTCACTTCTGTTTTCTCAATGAAATAGAAACTAGCAAGGTGTTGCAGGCTTGAGGAGGGAGGAGAAGCTATGAAACAATTGTCTAGGATACTGCAGACACTAAAACTTGTGTGGCGATAGGAATGTTCTATGTTAACACCACCTATCTTGATAGCCACTGAGCATATATGGCTACAGAGCCACTTGAAATGTGGCTACTATGATTAAATACTGAATTTTTAGTATAACTTTAAGTAGTTAGGTATGGCTAGTGGTTACTCTTTTGGACAGTATGCATATTGAAGTTTGAGAAACATTGCCTAGGAAATTAGTAGTATTAAGCAGGTGTTGTGGTTCACACTTGTAATCACACCTGCTTGAGAGGCTGAGATAGGAGACTGGAGAGTTCAGAAACCAGCCTGAGCAAACTTTGGTTCAAAAACCAAACCAGGCCAGGTGTGGTGGCACACGCCTGTAATCCCAGCACTCAGGAGGCCAAGAAAGGAAGATGAGTTCCAGGTCAGCCTGAACTACGTAATGAGACCCTGTTTCAAACACAAACACCCCCAAACCAAAAAACCAGACATTAGTGGTATTGCTTGACATCACTTCAGCTTAGTGGTCATGAAGGTAAACTGAGACCAGTTAACCTGATTTAGAGTTTTCCTCCTGTCACTCTCAGCTGTTCAGGTAGAGTAGCAGAGAAGGTGGATAGATGAGTCGGAGTTTTGCCACATAAAAATGATGGAGGGAGAGTGGGTGATACTAGGAGTGATTGTGTAGATGGGTAACAGGAAGAAGTGAAGACATGGGGTGAGGTGAGGTGGCAGACTAAGGATTGGTGAAAAGGGGGTCAAGATCAATAGAGCCTCAAAGCGTTGAAGAATTTTAGGAGCTGGAAATTTCTTTGTTGTTTGTTTTGAGACAGGGTCTCACTAAGTTGCTAAATTGTGTAGGTTGGACTTGAACTTGTGATCCTCCTCCCTGAGCCTCCCTGAGTGCTGAGATTACAGGCAGGTGCCACCGTGCCTGGCCAGGCAACTCTTTACTGTGCAGAAATCTCCTCTCTCAGACCAGACAGGTGAGAGCACTGTTAGACAGAAAACCTGGGTAGAACCTGTCTACAGTTTTTTTTTTTTTTTTTTTTTTGGTACCAGGGATCCAACTCAGGACCTTCCACTTGCGAGGCAGGCGCCGGAACCACTGAGCTAAATCCCCGGCCCCTACAGTTCTATAGCTAGTATGCTATGCCCAGATATGGGCACAGTAAGAAAAAGCAGAAATTGGAACCCGAGAGGAGGGTATTTATCCAACTCTACAATTTGTTGCCTTGACACTGAATGTCAGATTTGTTATCTATGAAATAATAATCGCTGTTCTGCCTACTTCTTAGGGTTGTTAGAACTGAATTAGGGCCAGGGATTTAGCTCAGTGGTTCCGCTGCCTGCCTCGAAAGCACAAGGTCCCGAGTTCGATTCCTGGTACCAAAAAAACAAAACAAAAAAACTGAATTAGTTAATATTCATAAGTGTCTTAAGAACCACAGAAATCTATGAATATATGAAAAGATTTATTATCTATTTTAGTGATTTTTAAGCTGGGAGTGGTTTTTTGTCCCCCGAAGGACATTTGCAATGCCCGTAGACGATTGTCACTGTGGGACTGTGCTACTAGTATCTAGTGAGTAAAAGTCGAGGGTGCTTGCAGACATTCTGCAGTGGATTGGTCAGCTCTTGAAAACAATTGCTTGTCACAGATGTTAGTAGTGTGAGAGTTTAGGCATCACTAATGGGTGTCTAAAGTTGTTAAATAACCTTTTATTATCAATGAAGAAATTAAAGCTCAGATTGATCAAGTGACTTCCCCAAGTTAACACAACAAATTGGTGTTGGGGCCAATGTCAAATTTCCTTACAGCTGACCTTTGACCTTTTGAGATTTTGAGGAACAAACTCCCGAGAGGCAGAAAACTCAAAGAAGAGTTTTTGTGCATTTTTCAGTGTACAGAACAGCACTCAGTACAATGAAAAGAAGCAAGTAGCTTTAATTTGTGAAGACTATGCTTTCATGTTTGTTGAAGTGTGTGATATGGACATTTTTTAGCAAAAAAGTAGTTGTCATCTATGTGCTGTGTCAGTGATTGTACTTGATGCTGTGATGACTATAGAAGACATAAAAGTTCCTCCCTGCCAAGAGTTTATAATCCATCTGGTAAATGTCCTAGGAATCGTTTAGTTGCAGATAATGGAAGTCAATTTAAGTTGGTTAAAGAGGAGTGTGGTAATGATACAGTGAGACTATGTATGCTCCACAGTCCTGGAGTATTAGATACAAATAGTCTACATGAAGCCCTAGGTATTTTTTCCTTTGTAGGCCTCCTCCTTTGTAAAAATAGTAAAAATTATATTTAAAGCTATATTCATATACATATATTACATTTAATTTTTTTCTTTGGCCCCTAGTTTTTCTTCAGATTTTAAAGGAAATTAGAACATTTTTATTAGGCCCTCAATAAATCGGCTATTAGGACTTATATAGGATGTTTTAAGGACGAAGTAGGAGCTACTTTCCTCTGCTTAAAATACTTCTGCAAAGCCAGTCATGTAGTTCAAATTTTTTTTTATTCATTAAGTTTATTGGTACATTTTAGGCATACATTATGATCCCATTCATTATTGGGAACTTGAACTTTTACATAATATATCTTGGTTCTTGTTTTTTCTCCATTCCCCTTCCCTCCCTTCTACCTCTCTCAAATTTTTTTTTTTTTTCCAATATTGGGAGTTGAATCCAGAGACTTCATACTGAACTACATCCCCAGCCTTCTTTTTAGTTTTTATTTTGAGATAGGATATTGCTAAATTGCCAAGACTGGGTTTGAACTTGTGATATTGTGCCTGTTTCCCAGAGTGCTGGGGATACAGGCATGTGCCGCCATTCTTGGTTCCCATATTATCTTTTTATGATACCAGTAAGGAAAAGCTGGTGATTTCAAATCTTTAAATATTCAAAAACTACTTTAAAAAATTTTTTTTTTCTTACTTTGAGAGAAGGTCTTTCTGTGTAGTTCAAGCTGGCCTTGAACTCACTATGTAGCCCATGCTGGCTTCAAACTACAGCCTCTCAAGTGCTGGGATTACAAGTGTGTGGCACTATGCCTAGCTCAAAAACTAGGAGCAGCTTATTTTAAAGTGGACTTTGAGCATATTATGCAAAGCAAGACAAGAGTTTCCACTATGAACAAACTTAAAGGTTCTGGAGGAAACATTGATATCACTATGTGATTCGTGTCTCCCATTGGGAGGTAGGAACATATGAAGAGGGTTGTCAGTCTGTCAGTGAGCATCGCAGTTCTGTGTGAACTCATTTTTTTTTTCTTCTATCAAGCCTGCTGAAGTATAGGGTGGATTATTCTCTCTTTTGTGTCCAATAGGAAAGGAAAGGAACAGCCAAAGTAGACTTTTTAAAGAAGATTGAGAAAGAAATCCAACAGAAATGGGAAACTGAGAAAATGTTTGAGATCAATGCATCTGACCTGGAGAAGCAGCCCAGGTGAGTAAACTGCTCTCTGGAACAGTGAGTTAGAAAGTCTGTTGTGTCTGAAATGGACCAAAGGAAATGACTTCCACCTTCTGCATTCAGATTAGAGTCATTTTCCTTATGGGATGCCCAGAGTTTTTCCTACATGAAGGGCTTTGGGTCTTGCTGTGTAATGCAGGTTGGCCTTCAAACTCATGGTATGCAATCACCCTCCCAAGGGTTTTTTTTTAAAGTAGTATCTTTTATATTCAGACAACAGAGAATGTTTTAAAAGTTTTATTTGGACTGATTGACAAAAGATAATTATTCTTGTAGAGAGACTGATAATAGATATCTCCGTCAACAAAAAAATAGAACTTTGAAGACTATACCTTCAGGACTTATTTCTATAGTTTGTTAGAAAATAAAACTTTGAAGGTTTCTGTATTTGAAAATCTTCATAAATACTGTATTGCTTTTAAGAAAAACCATCAATAGTAATAATTGTCCCCCTCAAACAGTGGCATAATAAATACATGCATTAATTTTAAGACATATTCCATTTAGATACTGTTGAAATGTAGAAAAATGTATTTTTTCAGGTTGATGAAATGTGATAACTATAACAGTGGCAGTAGCTAGCATTGAACACTTACGGTGTGCTAAGAAATGTCTTTAATCTTAATAGTCCTTTAAGATTAATGATTTTTCTCCCTATTTTACAGAAGAGAAAACTGATACAGAGAGTCTAAGCAACCAGTTAAGATTGCATAGCTAGGAATTCACAAGGTCTGGAGTTTGCTTTTTTTTTTTTGGTACCGGGGTCGAACTCGCAACCTTGCTCTTGCAAGGCAGGTGGCGGCATGGAGTTGTTTTTAGGACTTGCTGTTTTTCTTGTTACTCTAATGGAATATATATTTCCTTTCTTTTATTTTGAATTTTTGCTGAGGCAAAGTCTCACTATGTAGTCCAGGCTGGCCTTGAACTCACTATGTAGCTCAGGCTGGCCCTAAGCTCTGTGATCCTCCTGCCTCAGTCTCACAAGTGCTGGAATTATAGGCATATACTACCACACCCAGCTCTGGAATATATGTTTTCTATATCT